AAAGGGTGCCTATCTACATGTCCCATCCTCACCACCCCACTTTCTCATTCATATCAAATGACTAAATAAAGAGTAACATACCACCTTTCTTCCCTCTCAGAGTCATTTGAAATTATTATAATTTTTAACTGTAAATATAAATTTTAAAATAGAATATATTTAGTTAAAATTGAATTGAATTCATTTTCAATTTCATTTTAGCATATTTTTCCTTAACTTTTGAAATAAAAAAACATTTTTAATTTTAAATTACAAAAACAAATTATTTAACTCTCGTGTAAAATAAAAAATAAAAACATCACCATCTTAATCAATTATTGCTGTTAAAATTTAGTCACCACAATAATCGATATGAGTACCACCATCATTAAATCTATTATTATCACTTTTGTTATCATAAAAATTATCACTGTTGAAGTTACTATTATTATTATTTTTACTAATAACATTATTATTATGAGTGATGTATATAAATTTTATTATTTAAAAAAAATGATGCAATGCAAATTATTAGAACACCACCCCAAAAATTGCCCTACTATTACCTCTTCTTCCACATTGTTTATATTATCACAAGGCCATTATCACCAATTTTATTTTTCTTATATTATTACCCCATCGCTACACAAGCTTAATGAAAAAAAAAAAAAAATATATATATATATATATAGTTTAAATTTAAAATTTAGCATTAATTTTGAAAACTAAAACTCACAAATATTTAAAATTAAAATTATAAAATTAAAAAATAATTTAAATTCTTAAGAATTTTAAAATTTAAAACTAACAACCATACACAACAAAGCTTAACTGATTAAAATTGAAAAGTCATAAAAAAAGATGCGTTATCTTTCCTGCAAAACAAAAGTTACCATCCACGCTCCAGTTTGAATTTCATACACTAAGGGCGATTCACTAGGATCCCATAATTTAGAAGTGATTCATTTCAGACATTACCTCTAATCAATCATATGGAATCTTTTTCTCTCTTGTTTTCTATCAACAAAACGAATACAAGGTGGGGGTACTCAAACTCGTGCAAAATAGTTTCTATAAAAATATTTTTCATTTATGGTGGTAATTCATATCATTTTTCATAACATTCCTTCGTCATCAGAACTTGTATATCATCCCATCGAATCCATCAATGCATTTGCATGCCACCCCACAAGAGTATGCACATGCATATCACGAACTAAGCACATTAAATTTTGACATGAGAAGCCCCTGGTTCACTTTGAACAAGAAAGGAGATCTTCAACCAAATTTTCGAGGGTTTATCTCCCCTGATTAAGTAATTAGGAGGTTGTCATATCCTGCTTTCAAAGGAAATAAGCTAGATTAGGCTTTGTATAAATAGGCTTGATATATTTAATAATTTTAAAATTTAAGTTTGAGTTAATAAGAGTCTGCTTTAACTTATTAAAATTTTTAATTACATGCTTTATATTGAGACTTTCAATAAGTCATTAAATTTATTTGTAAATAGACTATTAAACAATATAAATAAGTATGTTTTTACAAAAATTATAAGGCTTATATCTAAATAAGTTATAGAAAAAATTAGTTTAACACCTTGAACATGCATAATACAATTACATATTTTTATTTTATCAAAATACTTAATTAAAATAAAAAATATATATATTAGTGTTATGCATAGACCAAATAATGGGTAATGCAAAAGACTATAACAAGTATGACTCTCTCTTTTTCTCTTAAAAGGTATATAATAGAGACATTCTTCAACTCCAATAAAAAATATTAAGTTTTATAATTTAAGATTTTATTTATTTTAAAATTTAATTTATTTAATATGCTATTATATTATAATTTAAATAAAATAAAAAAGTGATTCAACTAATAAAGGTTGATCTAACTGGCAAGTAGCTCAGTATCGCTTAAGCAAAATTTTCAATGATAAACTCACCTACCACATTCAGGTATGCGACCTAGATTGATGGCAGTAGCAATTGAGAACGTTATGGATAGGAAAGGGAGAAAAGGGAGAAAATGTCATAGGGGAAGAGTTTGGGAGTGAGAATTCTAACTTTTTTTAAAAAAAATTATAAAAAATAAAAATATTAATTTTAAATTATTAAATTTTAGAGAAAGAAAAATATTTTTTTTTATTATTTAAAAAAATAAAAAAATATAATAATATTATTTATTTAATTAAACTTTCCATTACCCTTTTTTCTTAATATTAAAGATCTAAACAAAAAAAAATGATTTAACCTCTTTTCTCCTTCCTTTCCTTTCCCTTCTCTCCTTATCCTTTCAAACTATTTTCCTCCCTACTCTAAACTTATAAACAAAGCCTTAATATCTTTTTTTATACTCAAAGAAAATATTTTGTCGCCATAATAGTTTTACCTTATTAAATATGTTTACATCCAATAAAAAAAATACTTATATTTTAAATTTAAAACAATAAAATTAAAGAGTAGTAAAGATTTTGCTCATTTCTCAAATTACTTGCTCTTTTTGTAGTTTCATAGTGTTTTTTTTTTTTTTACTTCTATACTTTTTTTAAAACTTGCTACGTTTTAGTTTTTCATACTTTAAATTACCCTATAACAATGGTTGTAAAATTACCTTATTAGTCGAATACATATATAGTGAGTGGGACCACTCCTTTGTTTTTTTTTTTTATGACGACAATGCCATTGCTTTTGATTCTTACCAAATATCCGTTTGGGTTTTTTTTGTTCGTTCTATTTATTTCAGTCTTTCTTTCTTTCAATTCTTTTGACTAAAGTAAAAATTATTTTGAAGTGAGAATCTAGGAAAGTTATCAAATATTTTATGAGCCCCACACAGAGGCAATTCTATTTAATTGAAAGTTTAATTATTAATTTTTATCAAAATCCCTTCTATTTACCCCAAAATTAGTTTCAAAGTATCCACAAATTGACCAAATACCAAAAGTACAGTGTAATCAAGATTTTTGACCCTCAAACGCAACTTCTCCTTCTACCCAAAGAGGCTAAAAATTAGAAGAGACGTGGAAATTAATTTAAAATATTGTACATAATGGTTTCTTGTTATTATACCATCTGAGAATTCAGCTTTCAATTAATGTAACTACTCTTGCATCTACTAACATTTGTTATTCAATCACTTAATAAGTTTGACACTTCATCTAATTCTTAACCACTCTCAGTAAATTAACATAGATTGTACAATTTTGTAAACAAATTTCAAATTATAATACTAAAATACTTGGATTGATTATGTGAAGTTTCTCTGTTGAGGTCTATTTAGCCATATTATTTAATTGTGAAAACAATATTATGGTACCCCTCATAATGGGGTCTTGTTAAATAAATTCATAACATCCAGAATTTTTTTGGTATATGCATTGTGATCTATGCTTAAAGCTGAATTGAAAATATTAACTTGAGAACTTTATAACAGTCTATAGCTAAATATTAAATGTTCTTTGGAATTAGAATTTTTGTTGTCATCGACAAAGTATTGCTGATAGATGACAGTAGGACTTGATGAAACTACAGTTGTAGTTGACAAGCTGTCATGACAACAATAGAACAAATTCAATAAGTTGTCAAGTGAGGGCGGCAAGAGTTGTTTATATGTGCCAATTGAATGAAAGAAATTACATTTGAAGCTGTTGACATGAATCTATATGCTGTGGCGTAATAAAATTCGTTTTGTTGTCGTGTAAGAACAGCATTTGAACAGTAGCTTTTTAGTAGTAATTGAATTTAAATTTGACTTATGATCAGGACAATTAAATAACATTCATATTATATTCAGATAAATTTTAGATAGATGTAAAAAAATAATAAATGGCTTAAATGGCTTCTACGTAATATATATATGAACACGAAATAAATTTTTATCCACCAGCACAACTCTGGTTATTAATATATTACTTACGTAAAAAAATAACACTTCTTAATACTTGCATCTTTCCAAGAGATAAATACAACCCACCGATGCATTTATCATTTTAATTGATAGTTGTGGTAAAAAATTATCCATAAAGCAACTCTAATCACATGTCTGTACGAGCATATATTCTCACGATAAAAATATTGTAGTCGATTATGACAAATCAAAATCAAATTTTTTAATCATGTTCAATCAAAAGTAATAAATAATTTTTGGTATTAAGTTAGAAAAAATTATACTTTATTTTGTCATAAAGTTATTTTTAAAATAAAAGTTATATCTAAATTGTCATACTTCCAATTTAATTTTAATAAAAAGATTTTTACAAACTTTTAAATAATGTAAAATAAAATTTGCAGACCTTTATTCAAGCACACGTCAATTGACCAAAGCTAGAGTAGGCTCCTGTAAAAGAAAAGAAAAATAGAGTAAATTCTACTGCTTTTAAGCTTTACCTAACTTTCATACGCCCCCACATAAATAAATAACAAAACCAAACAAGACAGACACAAAACGCTCGCATTCTCATACCCTCTTTATCTATCTCTCTTCTTTTCTCACATTATTCTCTCTATGTATATACACATAGAAAAGCTAAGTTAGCGAGTCAAGCTCATGCAATAAGACAATAATATAGATACATAGTGCCAATACTAAACTATACGCATATATTTACCACGATTTTTGTTAGTAGCGAAGTCTTGGAGCGACAATTGTTACACACTTCACTAAATATAGCTTAATCCTACAGACATAGCTAAATAGCACAGCACTTTGCATGTTTAACTCCCATACGTCTCTTTTTTCAAACCTTTCTTCCTTCCTCACCTCGCTTTCTTATAAAGAAACACTCACATCACATCCCAATTTTTTTTTTCAATTTTGAAAATTTCTTCCAACAGTAGCAGAAAAAACTTTAACTGGAATAATACTTAACCAACCATGTCCTCGTGCAGAGAGGGGCTTGTCCTCAATCCACAGAACTCGATCAAGGTGGTTATATATATATATATATATATATATAGGTGTAGATATATATATAAAAGGATATATATAAGGTCATGTCTCTGATTTTTATTTTTTCAGAGACCCAAACTAAGTGCAGCTTTCACGTCTAGCCTCCATGCAAACCCACCACTGTCCAATCTCCAAACATCACACGGAACCATCTTCGTGCACTTCTCATTCCGCCACGTGTACTGCAACCTCACACCGCAAGTGAACGCCGGGTAAGAATAGCACCACCACGAAGCAGCACCATCCTTCACCTTCAACCACACTACGATATTCTCAGCCCGCGGGTTACGCTCCTCGCTCACCACCATCCTCTTGTACGCGTCGTTCACCCACCGGACCCTCAAACCCCCGTCACACACAAACCCTGGACACGTGTCAGTTTCTAGATTCTTCATCTTCTCCTCGTCCGTACAACCTAACCCTCCCCCTTCCCCCATGCACGTGCCTGTCACGCTCTCCACCGTCACCCACGACTCCACCACCTTGACCGCCGGGACCTGATCTGAACCCTCACCTGCGTCCGCGTTTGCCGTTGCGCTCGGTGGTTTCAGATTCTCCACGATCTGAATCTTCTCTACGGTTAGGTCAAGATCAACGTTCTTACACCACGAATCTTCGATAAGCGAATCTCTCTCCGGCGCGTCCTTCTCCGGCATCAACTGCAACGTCACCACCGCCACGTCATCCAAACCGTCTCTTCTCTCCGACGAAGATTTATCACTATTATTACTATCATTACCGTTCTTTCTCACGTATCCACTATTCCTCCGAATCCTAACGTACTTCCTCTTCGGTCTCTTTCCGAGGACTGACACATGGCTACTCTGGCTCGACTCGGCGGCAGCGGGGACAGAACCTCCAGCGACCGGTTTGGGCGCGATCGGTCGGAACCGGAGCATTATTCTGTTAAAAATACCGTTATCGCGAGGAGCACCGTCGCTGTTGCCACACGCGGCCACGCGCCACAAATCTCCACCGTCCATCACGGTCTCAGAGGAAGTAGCGAAAGCGAAACTTTGATCTTTCTCTCTCTCTTTCTTCTCTCTCTAGCTAGTTTTTTGGGTTCGGTGCTGTGAGATGGAGAGGAAACGATAATGATAACGGCAGCACGGTGGCTGGGTGAGGGAACGCCACGTGTGTAGGGCAACAGAGGAGAACAGAGGGTGAAGGTCATTGGAGAAAATTTTAAATAATATTATACATCGTCTTAATATTTTATAAAATTGTTGTAGTGATTTCATGGATACGTAATAAAAAAACAATAAATAAAATGTTAAAAAAACATTACCAAGTTTTGATAATAGTTAATTTAAACATTATAGATATAATTTTTAAAATAATTATTAGTAAAGTCAAAAGTTTTATAAAATACAAAAGATTATAATTAAATGACAGTGTACAAATTTTACATATTTAATTAAATTTCAGATTTATTATATTTTTAACTTTTTAACAGTGTTCTTAAGGTTTATATGACAACAAGATCTAGAAAGATATTATGTTCAGAAACATTTAAAAAATTTATTTTTTATGTAACTTATAATACTTAGACAAAATATAAAAAACAAAAAATGGAGCCTAGCACCAAAAAATCCGCTAGTGGTGAAACGGGGGAAGGTGAGGGATGACTTCATTCTCAATTTAATTATTTAAAGAATAAAATTATTATTTATAAATTAAAATAGATACAGTAATAAGTAATTATATATTATAAAGTAAAATACATAATAAACTGTAAAGTTTTTTAAAGTTAAATTTATTTTTAATTAATATAAATGTTTTATATTATTTTTTACTCTTTTCAATTTATTATATGAAAAAGATAATCTTTTTTATTTTTCATCAAAATAACACTTTTTAAATTTTGTGTTTAATTTATATTTTTAAATATGTTTTAGTTTATTTCTCATTTAATTAAGGCATCAATATGGTATAATTAATATTCTACTTATAAGAAACAAAAATTTATTTTGAAATATATACTTTATTTATTATAAAAATTATATTTTAAGAGTTACTTATTATTTACTCACACGAGTAAATGTATTTATTTAAATGTATATGAATCACTAATTTAATCATATAGGATCATGATTATGTTATAAACATGTTATAAATTTATAATATATAGTTATATATTATGAGTCTTAATTAATTAAATATATGAGTAGAGACGAAGAAAAGAAAGTCTGATTTGTGTGATAGATTACGCATTTGAACTCTAACCTCTCCCAATGAAATAGAGCATGAGATGGTTTAGAAAATGATGAAAAAAAGAAGAAGAGTTAGTTAAAAGAGAGAGAGAGAGAGAGAGAGGGAGTAAAGAAAAGAGGGGGAGCGTTGTGATTGGTCCCACGGCGATGGGGAGAGACGAATGGGAGGGGAGAGAGTGTGTAGCACTTCTGGAAAGAGAGGGGGTTACGTGGCCTCTTTTCAGGGAGCAGCACACCACAATATTCTCTCCTTCGATGTGCATTTCACTTTTGCGTCCCATCAATTCCCCCAAACACCACACGTGCACCCGTTTTATTTGCCCCGAACAACCATTACTCCAACTTTTTCTTTTTCCTCCCATTATAAAACACATAACTGAATTATATTTTTAACCCCACCCAACATGGATTTTGAAAGCATCCTAAATAAATCCACCACCTAAGGACATCATTTTATTATCTATCGTATTCTTCTTTCATTTCAGCAATTTTTTTTTATACTACAAAATTTATTAGGCAAGTTCAACGTATATGTTTAAATTAACTGAGTCAAACTTTAAATTTTATTTATTGAAATTAATAGCCCTATTTTAAATAGTTTTATTTGTATCAGCAATTTTTTTCTACTAGTATAATCATTTTCCTTAGCACGATAAGTGTTTGACTTAACTCAATAATTCTCCATGTCATAGTCACCTTAACTATTGATTAAACTGTGTATATTGTTTACAAAAGTTTTGTTGCATGTTTAAGATTCAAACTTCAAATTATTGATTAAACTAAATTAATATTCCTATGCTAGATATCAACATGTTAATGACCAAAAAAAATAGTTGCTTTCAGAGGCAATGATTCTATCATAAAAATATTATTTTTATTATTTTTTTATACTTTCTTTTGTTGAATGTAATATACAATTATATCAACCTTCTGTCTTACTTTCTACCACATTAATTTTAAATAATTTAAGTAGTATTTTGTTATTAACATACAAATAAATATGTAATTATCAATCATAAGTTTTTGAAATCTTTAAATAAATTTTATAATAAAGTGTTTTTTTTAAATACACTTTTTGAGATAAAAAATTTAATAAGTAATATATATATATATATATATATATATATATATAAATTACCATAAAAATCTAAAATGTATCAATGATATTAATAAAATAAAGTCAACTATTGTGAAGTAAGTCAAAATCCAAATGGCAAAATAGTTTTAATAATAATTTTTTATTTAGAGACAATAAATTACCTTTTGTATCTCAAATTATTACCGTATCTATACATAGTAATTTTTTATTTTAATCTTTATAAATAACACACTTTTTCATTATTATTTTTATATGTAACACATTGTTTTATTCTTAAAATTCTTTTTCGTATAAAGACTAAAATAAATGTGTTACAAACAAAGTAAACATTTTATTAAAAAAAATACAACATTGTATATTACTAATACATAAAAAATATATGTATTTATATATTCTCTCAAATATAGTTAAAAAAGTAAACATTAAAATTGAATTTTGAAAGCAGGTAATAATGACTGTTTATTATCTGGTTGGGCGCGTGAGTGCAGGCACCCACAATGTATATATAATCGTATGATAGAAGGGCTTGAGTGCTTCTTTCTTTTTATGGTGCAAACCAATTCCATGTACCATGTTATCTCATAAAACATCCACATGTTCTATCGTACGAACCCATCTACGAGACATCGAGTCATCGATCCGCGATCTATCTCCATTAGCGAATTTCATTTGCATTCATATAATTTTCTACTTGGGGGGCAATATAGTAGCAGATAATAGAAAAAGGACGTGAAGGACACCTGTCTTGTGAAAGGTACAGGCAGCAAATGGATTTCATTGGTTGATTTTGATTTTTGAGTTGGGGGGCCATAACACTAAAGTGAAGTAATGTACCCGACGCCATCAATCAACCAATCACCATTCAGAAGGTGTCTTCAACACTGCCAAAGATCTCTCGCGTGATAATGTTGTTGTCGTCATTGCTGTTTGAACCTACTCAGAATAAGAATAATTCTAATTTCTTTAAGAAAAATATCACTTAAGTTTCTTAGTTTCTTTCTTCTCTTATCTTTTAATTGAATTTTTTATCCAGAATTAAAGATAAGATTAATAAAAACACGTAAATGTTGTACCCATCTTTACCTATGTAAGGAAAGGAAACTCTGGGATGAGGTTCGAGAATGTCGACACGTGATTTGGTTCTATTGGTGAACCACGTGTCAATTCAGATGGAAAGTGCTCGCGCGGTGAGCATCTTAATCTCGAGTCAGAGCGCGTGGATTGCACGGGCCACTTAGAAGGCGTGTAGGGGCATGAACTTTTGAACGTGGGTGTGAGGAGCGTGGGAAAGATAAAATTGCACTAATGAATCAATCGTACTCCATATTTTTCGCTATGCCTGGGCGTATCTTAAACTAGATTTGTTCTTTTTTCCTTTTTTTGGTTTTGTTTACATTGGACGAAGACCCGTTTGTGTTATCTTTTCGGATACTCAATACTTGCCAGATTTGCGACCTTCTTTTTTTGCTTTTTCTATTTTCAACAAGTGCCATCCAATGGGTATCAATACGACTCAAATTTGTGAATGAGTTTAGATTTTTATTTATTTATACGAATTTAGGTTTCTCTTACAGTTTTGCTTTTTTGTTTAATCACATCATATTATTATTTAAAATTTTTATTTTTCTCTTATGTCTTCCTATTTCTCATTAATATTTTTCTTTGCTTGAGAAGAAAATGAGAAAATAAATTTTAAATTTAAAAAAATGAGAAAGAAGAAACAAAATTTAATACAATAATTTTTTTCTCTTTTTACTCTTTCTTTATTATTTAATTAAAAATATGTAGCATTATTTTTTTCTCTTATCCAAATAAAAATTAGGCTTGATTATATTCTTTTGTCTTTCTAAATTTAATTATGTACATTTTTTTCTTAATTTTTTCAAGTCAATCAAGTTTCTCAAATTTTTTAATTTTAACAAATTTTGTTTACCCCCTTAATTTCTTTTTAGCTAAAACTTCTAAACTTTATTTTTTTTAAATTTCAAATTCTTACAAATTAAACTATCTTCTGGTTAATACTTACAAACTGAAATATCAATTTTTACTCAAAATTAAAGTCTCAATTTACAAACATTAATCTCATATATTATCAAATTCTTCAACTTTTATTTTTTTCACTTATAATTTCTTAAACTTTTAAAATTATTTATGTTCTAATTTTATTACAAATCTCCAAATATTTAGGTAGAAATAAAAAAAACAGAATTTTAATTGAAAAAGTGGGATTAATTGTTCTTTTAAAATAGAGATAATTTTATTAACTAAAAAAAAACTTAAAAGCTCAAAATTAAGATTTCACATAATTTGAATATAAAAAATTAATTAGTATAAAGGTAAATATACCTATGAATTGTATATAAGCTTTTTTCTTTATCAATTTTGGGCATCTAGAATAAATAATTCAATGTTCAGGACATCTAGAGTAAATATTCCTCTTAATTATTTTTTTATGAAAACTGTGACTAAATACCAAACACCACCCTTATGAAGTTAATGGTCATATTCTGAATACATGAATTATTTTGTTTGACTCATAAAAATAACCAAGCTGAATATATATCGTTTTTTATATTTTTCTTATAATTATAATTTAAAGACCCTTTTAACCTTCTTCCCAGAGCTACACTGTAGTGTGCTATAATTAATTTATGTACCATCCAACTGATCCTGTGTAGTACATAGATAAATAAATTTTAGTGATATCAAAGAATAAAACGTTTAATTAAAATAATTTTATTTAAAATTTATCTAAAATGCTTTTGTTATAGTTTTTTAATTTTATATCCTAACTCATAAAAAAAAAAAAAAAAAACTATTACCTTTAACGAGAGAATGAGTTATAAATTATTTGTGAATAGCACAACTTGTTAAATGCTCAACTAAATTCGTTTATGTAATAAAATAAATAAAAATAAGTTTAAAATTAGGTTTAATTATTTAAATCAGCTAAACTTAAGTTTTATAAGTTTAATATTAATAACTTGTAAGTAACTAGCATCTATAAACATGCTTAGATGATTAAAATTATATTTATTTAAAATTTTTATTTTTATTATTATAATTATGTGTGTATTATTTACTTAAATTTATTTTTTAAGAGTTGTATTGTAAATAAGTGGTCATAATTTTTAAAGATATATATATATATATATATATATGTTATTTTTATAATATTTTTTATGTTAAATCATTTTTATGTAGAAAAAAATTATATTTTATCATCGTTTTATTTTATTTTATAACATAAAATATTCACCAAATATTAAATTAATAAAAATTATTTAAAACTTAGAAAAATATTAAAAAAAAAAGCAATGAGTTAAACTTAAATTTTATAATCATTAATCAAATCAAACTCAAGATTTAAATTTAACTAATTTAAATAAATGAATGTGAATTGAGCTTTATTTTTCTTTAACAAGTCAAGCTTAAGTTTTAAATATTCATTTACATCCTTATATTCTATTATCACACAACTTCCAGCACACAAATTGTACCACACCCATTTTTAGATATAAATATTGTTTTTTACTTATAATAAATATTCCGTTTTCAATTCATTAAATCGGAAACAGATTTGAAAGGGATGTTCAACAAAATATCAACTTTTATGCTAAATGCTTTTGAATACTTCTATTCTTACGATTAATGTTGACAATATCTTTTGCAAATGTGAGAAATAAAAAAAAAAAAGAGTGAAAGGTGAGATAAATTAAGACGTAATGTAAAAAATATAAAAAAAATAATTATAAAATATAGTTAGAACAATATTATGAATTTAATTTATATCCATTAATACTCATTCAATTATAAATTGTTACATCATTGATAATTATTTTAATATTACTCATATTTTTTACAGTTTTCTTCGCTGTTAGATACTTGGTATCAAAGCAATAATCATTTAAATAATGAAAACCTCATTTCCTAACAGAACTTAAATAATAACTATAAAGTTTGAGGGGAAAATAAAGTAAATAATGTACAAATTAAAATTATACATAGCCTTCGAGATTCTGATTTTTTACAATAATGTCTAAAATTATTTATCGTCATGAAATTTATAATTGTAAATTGAGAAATGCAGCATTTCAGTAATAGTAATTGTACTAGATACGGAACTGGATAGGGAACAGTTTGATCCCATATTTAGAAAAAGTAAATAGAATACCTATTCTTCCTAGTTTGGCCGGATACTTAGTTATCAAGATTACGAGGTAATTGACCCGATTAAGGATAATAATTAGAATATTATCGACGTTAACTAAAATGCCAAAATTAAGGCTGACTCAGTAGGCCTATTAGTTCATAATAATGCCTATAAAAGGAATGTACGAAATATAGGTAAAGGGTTGACTTTCATTATTAAATAGCATTTATTACTCAAAACTGAATCTTGACTTCAGCATCAGAGTGCCTTTTGCAGGTACCCTCCCCACGTTAGCAACAGTTAAAAAGACGTCGTCACTGCAGATTAGAGACTTAAAGATTAGTGTTTCCCAAGCAGAAACATTTTGGCGCCCATCGTGGGGCACGATTAGCCTATTTTTTAGATTAATTATGGTACTAACGAGAAGCCAACAGAAAGGACATGCTCAACGGGGAGGAACCTCTCGGCAACAGCAGAAGGGTGTCACACCTGATGAACCAACACCTGAAGTTGTGATGTAAGGAAGAACCAACGAGAGCCTCTTAGTTGTACTAAGACAGCTCAAAACAGAAATGATGAAGATGAAGAGGGAGTGAGAAAAGGATGCCTTGGAGCTCTCGGTTCTGAGAAGGGAAAATGCTAACTTGAGAGAAGAAATAAGAACACACATCCCTTCCCAGACTACACTCATCGTCTAAGATCAGGGGGAGTCCTCGGCATTGCTAGAGAAATCAAAGCGGGTTTATCAATCTAAAGCCAAAAATAACCGTGACGATCTTGTGAGCAGAAGCCCATTCGTTCACCATATTTTGGAGGCTAAGTTACCCGACACCTGGAGAGACTTAACAATAGAAAAATATGATGGCACAACTGACCCTGGGGAACACTTGGATGTCTTCACAACCCAGGTTGGTCTGTACACTGAGAACGATTCTTTATGGTGTAGGATTTTTTCCACCACACTCCGAGGACCAGCCCTCAGTTGGTTCACCCAACTCCCCCTTCATCCATCGACTCTTTTGCAACTCTCACAAGACGGTTCAGCTTGCAGTTTGCCACAAGCCGACCTCACCCATTAACATCCTTGGCGCTGGTCAATATTCAGCAAGAAAAGGGAGAATCACTTAGAGCATTCATGGAACGCTTTGGCAAAGTGACCCTTTCGATCCATAACTTGGAACCAGCAGTGGCTATGCACCACCTCACAACGGCCCTTAAGCCAGGACCTTTCATTAATAGTATTTGCAAAAAACCACTAGTTGATTTAGACGAATTAAGGAGTCGGGCAGCGAAGTATATGCAGATGGAAGAATTAGCAGAGTACCGAAACCAAATTCGCATGGACTAGGGACCCAATTCAATAAACATAGATAAGAAAGAAACTTTCAAACCTCAACAAGAAAATAAAAGAAAGGATGAGTCTGAGAGGCTGCCTAAACGACCCAAATACCCCTCTTATACCACACTTAACGCCAATAGATCTAGGGTACTTGATCAGGCTTTAGCAACAGAAATCCTGACCATGCCAAGGCGCGCCAACACCCCACCTTGGGCAGATAAGAGTAAATCTTGTCGATATCATCGCAACAGAGGCCATACGACAGAGGAGTGCACCACCCTAAAAGATAAAATAGAAGATTTGATTAAAGATGGGCACTTGAGAGGATTTGTTCAAACAGATCCCACCGACTACACCGAAAGGGGAAGGAGAGATCGGTATCCCCAATCCTCAAGAAGGTATAAGGATAAGCAGCCTGAGAGACAGCGGAGCTGGTCAAGAGAGCCTCCTGTAAGAAGATTTGATGAACGAGAAAAATACCCGAAAAGGGTAATCAACACCATAGCTGGTGGGTTCGCAGGTGGAGGACCCACTCATTCAGCTAGAAAAAGGCATCTCTGGCAGGTTCGTTCTGTTAATAACATTTCATTGGGTAGCAGAATCTGAATCTCACCTATCACATTCACAGACGATAACTTTCAAGAAGTGAATCTGGTACAGAATGATCCCATGGTCATTAATGTAGACATTCTTAATTGTACTATCCGAAAAACACTAATTGACCAGGGGAGCTCGTTTGATATTCTGTATTGGAATACGTTTAAACAATTAGGCATTCCAGAAGAAGAGCTCAGAGAATATCATGAACCACTGGTGGGTTTCTCTGGGGAACGAGTGGAGACTCGGGGCTGTATTGACCTGTACACCTCATTCAGGTTAGAGCACGAGGGAAAACGTATAAAAGTCACTTATCTTGTAGTGCATGCAAACACTTCCTATGATATACTACTCGGCAGACTATCCCTAAACAAATTGAAGACCATAGTATCTACTCCATACTTGGTCATGAAGTTTTCGTCTGAAAGGGGCCGAATCGTTACAGTTCACGCTGACCAGAAGACGGCTAGAGAATGCTACTTTGCAAGCCTACATCTTAAGCCTTTCCATGGGAGCAGCCGAGATGTCAACATTGTATCCCCTCGGTTGGTAGAGGAGTTGGATTTTGAACTCGATCCTAGAGTGGATGAGGGGTATCGGGTTGAGCCCAATGAAAACAAGTAGCCTTTCCAACTTGGACTGAAGCCCAAACAAGTTACTTATTTGGGAAGTACAGGTAAAGGGTTGACTTTCATTATTAAATAACATTTATTGTTCAGAACCGAATCCTGACTTTAGCATAGGAGTGCCTTTTGCAGGTACCCTCTTCACGTCAGCAACAGTCAGAGAGACGTCATCACTGCAGATTAAAAACTTGAAGATTAGTATTTCCCGAGCAGGAACAGTAATCATTCTATTGCAAACGGAATTTAAAGTCTTATTGTTTGTTAATTGAGAAGATGAGGAAGAAAAGTTAAATGTGAATAGTAAGAGCCATTATTAGAAATCAAATCAAATGAATTCTAAAGTTTAAATAACGCTTAAACATGGTAATTATCGTTTTATCTTTTATACAATATAATTTTACTTGAGTCTGAAAAACGACTAATTCTCTTGACAATTTTTTATTCATAGCTAGAATTCAAATTCAAGAACTTATTTAAAGAGAATCGAATATATACCGTCTTAACTAAACTCTATTGGTACTTAATTAAGCATCAGGTCATTGATCAGTAATAATAACATATTAAAAATTTATAATAAATAAAATATATAATATCAAATGTGAATATTTTAAGAAGTATCGATTATATTATAAATTTAAGTTTTGCAAGTACTTACATGTTATATATATCTGCAGTTATTTTCAATAACAATATTACGCCTAATATAGTTTTACAAAATAAAAATATATTGAAAAAACTTAGTTGGCCCATTAAATAATTTTAAAAAATATGGACATGTTACGTTTTAATTAAGTTTGATTATAATGAAATAGAACAAGAGTTTTCGTAATGATCAGTATCTAAGGAAGGCTGTCAAGCACTTGAGGTAACAAAGTAGATAAAACACAACAGAATCATATTGGAGTTTTAGTTACGTATTTAGTTTGTATTTACAATTTGTCCCGCATGTATACCTAATCTTTTAAAGAACATTTGTACCATAGCAACGATATTTATAAATATATATAGTATATGCATTTTCACAATCTTTGTAACTCGTTTAGTCTTATTGTGATAACAATTACATTTAATTTGTTAGAAGCAATGTAGACCTCAACCTCAAGCCTTAAAAGAGGATTGCATAGATATTGCATATCGCATTCTGTACCTTAATTAATAACTAGCTTGCATGCTTAGTTTCCATTCATTTTGCTTTTTCTCTCCTTCCAAGAGAACACTGGGTTACTAATGAAGGATTAAGGAGCAAGCAAAATCACAAGTTCCCAACCCAACCCTTTTTCTTCTTCCCACTCCTACCCAACACTCATCCACAAAGCAATAATGTTCTTTTTCTTTGAGCCTTATTACCTGGTGTTCATTAAAAAAGTTTAAAAAATTTAAAATATATTAATAACATATTTTATTTGTGAATTAGTATTCTATAAACACTCATTAGTCATTAAAAACTGGTTAACATGTGTTTTTATTCATCTCTTTTAATTTTGCTTAAAACAGTAGAAACTCTAACTGGAGCAATACCTAACCATATAACGGTGCAGAGTGGCTCAAGATGTGTAGATCTCTGCATAAAAATTCACGTTTTGTGATTTTTCAGAGACCCAAACTAAGCGCAGCTTTCACGTCTAGCCTCCATGCAAAACCACCACAATCCATTCTCCAAACATCACACGGAACCATCTTGGTGCACTTCTCATTCCGCCACGTGTACTGCAACCTCACGCCGCAAGTGAACACCGGGTAAGAATAGCACCACCACAAAGCAGCACCATCCTTCACCTTCAACCGCACCACGATATTCTCAGCCCGCGGGTCACGCTCCTCGCTCACCACCATCCTCTTGTACGCGTCGTTCACCCACCGCACCCTAAAACCCCCGTCACACACAAACCCTGGACACGTGTCAGCTTCTAGATTCTTCATTTTTCCCTCGTCCGTATACCCTAACCCTCCCCACCCCTCACCCATGCACGTGCCCGTCACGCTCTCGACCGTCACCCACGTTTCCACCATCGTCACCGGTTCCGGATTTTCCACGACCCGTTTTTTCTCCATTTCCCGTTCCGGCGCGTTCTTCTCCGGCATCAACTGCAGCGTCGCAATCGGCGGCACGTCCTCCGGCGTTTGGCTCTTCGAAGATTTACTGTTCCTCCGAACCCTAACGTACTTCCTCTTGGGTCTCTTTTTGGAAACGACGACGTTTTGATTGGCGACAGAAAGCGCACCTTCTGGCGAGGGTTTCGGGAGGATAGGTCGAAACCTGAGCATTATTTGATTAATTTTATGGTATCGGTTGTTGGGGCGTATGGTACGCACGAGCGGCGTATGTTAGCGTTGGTGAAGGTGGTTACGGAGATCCATAATTCGCTGTTGGTGTCGTGTACGGGAATTGTTGAAGGGAGGGCGAAGCTGGGCAATAATAGAGGGTGTGTGGCAGTGAGATTAAAAGCGTGGGAAGGACACGTGTCCACTGAAATGAACAGAACTTGGTTTCCATTGGTTTATATAGTTAGACGGACCAGGGGCTCTCGCTACAAGAAATGCTTCAGTTGTTGCACCTTAGACTTTCTGCATGCTCTGCTTCAACATTAATTTTGCTTTTTAGGGAAAATTTTAGAAACATGTTCCACCCTAACATAGAAAAATAATAATATCTGCGTGATTTGTCTGTTTATTTCTTAAAAATAGTAACTTTTCAATATTTCAGAAGAGCTCATCAAAAATATTCTTTCAGAAATAAGCACTTTTAAATATTTATACAACACTTTCTTGAAGCTTTCTTAATTAAACGCTCGTATTTTATGGTAATCAAGCAAGTTTAGATTTATAGAAAATAAACTTTCGCATCTTGTTTGATGCAAACGATTTTTAAAGTTTATAATTAAAATGTTGGATGTTTATTTAAATGATTTTTTTTAACTCGTAGTTAAAAAATATAATAAAAATCTATATATAATAATTTTTTTTGTTAATAATGTGTTAGTAATATTAAATACTACAAATTTTAATAAAAATTTATTATATACTAATTTTTTAATTATGCGTCCGTAAAAATGAGTGAAAATTTGTTATCAAAATATTATTTGTATAAGAGGGAGAAACACCCAGTAGCATTAATATATATACAATACAGGATATATTTACTATACGATATTTACACAGTAAAATATAAATATAACAAAATTTAAATTATATTACATATATGAATAAGATGGAACTAATATATATGTAAAAAAACATATAATCCTAAGATGTATGAAAACAAAATATAGATAAATGCTGATGTTTCTTAGGTCGCATTTGTGATTGTATACAACATATTCTGAATCTAATATGTAAATAATAAGATCATATTTACAGTTATATTGGTATAAATAGAAAAAAATAAAATCGAAAAAAAAGTTTAAAATGTATTAAAAATCATATCTGACACGGTTGTATAGGTGACAATCATCTTTATGTTGGTACTTAATAAAACGACATTATTCCCAAAATGTTTCTTTCCTTAATTCTGTTGCGTTGAATAGTGTGTTAATTAATATAGGCTTTTGATACATGACATAGGTTTGCGTAAATATAACATCTTCGATTAAAAAAAATTCAATTTCAATTGAATATCCTTAAATTTTTGATATTTTCACTCAAAAGTATAAAAGTGTCAAGCTTGTCTTATTAAAACAGGGAAAATAAATTAATTATTGTATTCTATTTTTTTAATCGTTTCATAGAATAATTCTGCAAGTGAAATAAGCTAACACAGTATTTCTTGCAAGATAATTTTGTCTTCGAGCAAACTAACTAGTATTATTGTTATAGGTGTCAAAAAATCACTGATACCATAGAAGAGCCAGATAGGGTTAAATGTTAGTGGAAGTTGTTTTTCAAGAATTATTGTTATAATTCAAATTAATAAACTGAAAAAAAATTCTAAGATAGATAGATTTAGGGACAAAAAATTCATTTTAAAAAAAATAGAAACTAACCAAGTTTCCAAGTAATTCATATTCAAAAAGAAAAGGTTCAACATAAAAAATGTACGGTGATTATTTTGACAAAACTAATTTTAAAAAAAAAATAACATAAAAGAAAAATTTTAAACTAATTCAGATTTTTTTTAAAATTTCAACGATCTAAATAATAATGAAGTCACGCATTTTAAGAAGAAACAAATTATGATAATAAATGTTCTGATTCTCAAGCATAGTAACTTTATATTATTATATAAAAGTGAATAGTTTAGAATACTATAAATAAATTGAAGTGAAAAAAGGTTTAGAGAATAATCATAAAATTTAAGAAAATTTTTTTTTATCAAAATATTGTATATTCATCAATGTATTGCAAACATAAAATTTGACTTGTTAATCAATTTATTTTTATCAAAATATTATAATTAATGTTTGAATCAAATAAAACTCAGTTAAAAAAGTTTCGATTTCAATAATTCTAAACAAAATATTTTCATTACACGTATTAAATAATTGACAAAGCAAAGGGCTTCGATACAACATTCATACTTTTGGTCCTATTGCTATCTTGACATTATATTGAATTGGAGCTCAGAATATTGATTAATAAATATTAATTGTAAAATATAATAAATATCTTTAGTAGGCTTTGTTTACACGAAGTTTTGTTTGTTAGTTTATAAAGTAATTAAAAATTGATACAAGGTTAAATGAAATTCTAAGTGAACCTAAACCAGAAAGTGACAAATGAACTTCGGCTCTCGTTTTTATAATACCTCTTTACATTTACAGATTGTTTTAAAATGTTTGACGAGTGAAAAATGTAAAAGAAATTTTTTAGTGTTTTTAGAAAAAAAAATTATTCTTATGAATTTTAATTTCTTTAAATAATCCGTATTATCTATAGAGATAATGTAACATGTGTCTAAACATATCACATTAATAATTAATTTTTTATTGATATATATATATATATATATATATATATATATAATTATTTTGAAATGACATATGATAAAACTCACCTTAGATCATTAATAAATAGTATTAAAAATATTTTTAAAAAATTTTATGAGTATTATATTTAATAGGTTTTTTTAATATATTCAATGAGATTAATGAAAAATTCAGAAAACAACAACAAAATTATCTAATTAATTTGAAAATATAAATTTTCATTATATCCTTTCTAAGAAGAAATTTAAGTTCTTGAGGAAGATACTCTAAAACAATTATTTTTAAGCAAATGATAAGTTTAATTAGCTAAAAGATTAGTATGATAATTAGTTTTTTTAACATATGATATAAATTAACTATTTTACAATATTGAATTAACTTTTTAATCGCTGTAACTACATGATATAATTTGTGTCACAAAACAATTTATGAGAATTAACCAAATATACAATCAATTTAGAGTCCATTTCCACCCATATCCCTTCTATTTTAAGCTTTTTAACAAGCTTAAAGTCTACAAAAAGGGGTTCAAAGGTCAGCAAATAATACATATTTTTTTGTCAAAGTCTGTTAGTAAAATTAACTTGAAAAGCACTTTACTTATCTCTAATTAATCTCTTATAAGGAGCCACTCTATTTGGATCTCGAACATATTCATTCAAATTAAGCTTTAATTTGTAGAAAGTAGATGAAATTCAATCTATCAAGAATTTTTTTTACAAGTCCTATTAATTACGGAAGGATTCAAACGAAAAGCCTTCAAATTCATTGTTTTTCTATTAAACATTCAATAATTTATATTTATCCATAAAAGCCAAATTTCAACATCAAATAGAACATTTCAAATATCAACTCTATATAAACTTTTCTTACTCAATTAATATATAAAATGAACATATTTCACATTTTGGAGGCAACTAACACATTTTAAGAACATGTATGACAATTTTAGAACTATTATTACAAATACTACATGTATGAGAATATAATTTTTTTTTATTTGTTAGTGATATGTTATGAACCACCTTTTAAAGGAAAAATTTTATTTTTGAAGGTCCCTACTATTTTCAAATTATTTAATATATTATTAAAATAATACAAATAAAATTTATTTATCAAATTAAAAAATCGATCACTGCTCAAATTTCTACTAGATAAAATCTATTCACTTATATTTTATAGAAAAGTCAGATGAAAATTTTATAGGTTTTTTAGGATAATAATAAAGTTTTAATTAAAAATAAAATAAAATTTTTATTATTGAATATGTATTTTTAATTATTATTATTTTATTTATGATATATTTTTAATATTATAATTTAAATGATATATAATAAGTGATATAAATAATAACATTTCAGAAATTTCTTATTCCAAAAAAGCATAAAAAGATTCCCGTGAAAAGATGAAATGCTATGTCATGCTTCAAGCCAATGAGAGATACAACATTCCTATGTATTGTCATAAACATAAAACACATATAGGTTATTACTGTTTCTCAATTTTATTGTAGTTTTTAGTGATACAATTAATATAATACATGTTTAGTGATATATGATAAAGAATTCATGCTCCATAAATACAGAAAAAAAATCAAAAACAATTATTATATACTTTTACAGAAAAGATTACCCTGGAAAATAGTGTCTTTGTATATTTGTTTTGCAAAATATATTTTATACATCTAAATATATATTTTTTCTTTCAGAGAGTAATTTTTAGATAGACTTAAATTAACATTTTATCCTTATATTTTACTCTTTTTTTCTTCAATCCTTCTTTTAGCCTTTATTGTTTTGTAGTTTTTTTTTTTTTATCAACATATTGACAGTGTTTTAAAACTATATTAGTAAGAGGAAATAAAACTTAAAATTTATAAAAATATAAAAAGCCAAAAAATGATTACAGGACAAAAAAAGCTCAGAATAAATATTTTGTAAACTAAATATGTTTATTAAGAAATCTTAAACTAATAATTAAATTTACTATTTACAAAAAAAATATATTAAACAAAGTTAGTTAAAACTCACTTTTAAAATAAAGAAATCTCTTTTCGTAAAAGAGTAAGTAATAATCTTTGAATTTTATTAACCATAACCTTAGGTTAAGCATGTATAAAAAAAATTAATAAATTTTTTATTATGTTAAAATTATAAAAATAATAATAAATAAAATTATTTTTAATATAATTTTACTATAATTAATTCTTTTAATATTTTCTACAATTTTAAAACTTTAGATTTTTCTCAATTTATACAAAATTTTAAGCATATAAAAATGAAAAAAAATATTATATCCCTTTGATAAACACCAATTAAAATTTATCTTTATAATAATAAATAA